CACTTTTTACCGAGAAAAATCTCTCTCATGGGCCTCTGGTCGTATTTATGACAAAATCCAAAAAAGACTAGAGGATAGTAGATGGAGCAATCTATTTCTAAAAATTCAAAATCCTGATGACCCTTCTGGCTCCAGGGGGATTTTGTTTGAATCACACGTACTTCACCTCATTAAGGTTGGTGGTAAAACGTTTGAATCGAGAAGACTTAAAGAAAATAAGGTAAAATCTTGCGTAATTATTTTCAATAATAATGATAAAATATTGACGATCTTTTTTATTGTTAGAGTGATCAAGTCATCTATAATGAATTTATTATTGCAGTAAACCCAATCACCGAGTATATTCGATACGCAAACCAGCTCATAGGGTGTAACAAAGACAACATATTTATCAGACCAACCATAAGAAATTTTAATGCGGTAATCTAATTCTTACGCCGGACTGTATCTTTCAAATTATTGTATCCCCAAAACACTCCGTAAAGCAAAGTGAAATGATTAAAATAGTTCAAAATATGCCGGCATATAGAAAGAATCCGAATGCAAATTTTTTTTTGTATTTTATTGTGCCGGATGACATATATGATGCCTTCTGATACCAAAATTACGTAACACCTAAGAAAAAAATTGGAAACGATCTTGAGGCCTTTCAATCAGTTAAACGTAAGTCCCCTATCCTCAATAATGTAGAACAATGGGTTATAAAAATTAAGATGACACCTGAAATGACTTTAACGTCTGTGCTGAACAACGCGATGGCAGTGACAAATAACTGTTTATAAAATTCTGCAGCGTCAATTACTTATTGGGTACTTGGGTTCTAAATCGTTTTATCCTTCATATTAATTAAGATTATTTCTAATTCATGTTTATTGCTTTAAGAAATTCGGAGGGACGTTTAGTAGTTAAGATAGAGTATATAGTTTTATATATTATGGCCATGTTTACTTAAGAAATAACTTGATTGTATAGAAGTCATTTTACTATAGTCTTACTGATCAATTAGGGGAAAAGAAGACTTTATGGTTAATAAGAGGACACTTCTATCAAAAACAATTGTTCTAGAATAATGACATATTGTACGTACAAGAAATTTTACATAAAGACATAAAAAGACGTAATCAAACATTAGCATATTAACGGCGTCCCAGAATTTAACACTTCTGATTTTATCCTCTGTAAAACTTGAGATCAACATCTGTAGAAGATGTAAGAATCCGATTAATTATAACTACATCTATGGCATTAAAAAGATAATACGTTTTTCTAACTCTTTTCATTTTATCCTTTATTACAGCTACTAAAATACCAGGTGAGAAATAAAAATGTCTATGACCTCGTCATTTAACCTTTTTCGCACCCTCTTCTGTCCATTCTCTAATAGTTCATTTAGACGAATGGTTAGTGCTAAACCAAATTCATAGTACCAATAGATGGTCTCATAATGGCCTTGCCAATTTTCCGACATAAATTGCGTAAAAACTCAAAGGGATGATAATTACTGTATCAGGAGAGAGTACTTCTGACGAATTGTTTTTTCAGCTGTAACCTCACGTATAAAAGCTGATAATATTTGCTGTTCTATATTGTTGTCTCGACACTGAAGTTGCACGACAGCATTTAATGTAAAAGAATGACCACATCGGAACATCGCATGTAATTCTATAATTTCTTGTTTGCAAATCAAACAAGGTTCGGACCTCGGGGGTTCAGAGAAAAGATGGGGAGCCACTTTATGGTCCCAAACTTAATAGAAGTAATGTAATTGCTTCCTGGGACGCCATTAAGGCAAAAGAGAGTTTATGTTAGCTCTATTTATACTTCATGACGCTCCATGATAAGCTATAAAGTCATCAAATTTCAGTGACCTCGCGGTCTTGAAAAAAATTGAAAAGAAAAATTTTGGAATGAATATAGCAATAACGTCAATGACAGAAACTTCGGCACATTACTTTTATTTTTATTTGCAAGAATACGGGATGTTAAGTGTCTAAGCCTATTACTGAACTTAATGTAAATGAAAAGGATAAGGATATAAATATGATTCTAGCCCAGAAAGTATAGAATTAATTATTTTGATGGTAGGCCAATAATCGCAATCTTGACAGTTATAGGTGAGGAGATGGACATTCTGCAATAAGTAGAACGTGATAGACTAGGTGGCGTGCTAGAAGCGATGACTTTCAATGTTTCGGAAATACGGTCCTTAAATAACAAAGTATTTAATGGTTTGGAGATTTGCACTAAAGTTAGTAAAAAGAAACTACTATTTGTTACTTTGAAATTATATAATGCTTATAACACTGGTACCAAACTTAAAAATTGCGCCTGTTCCGTTGGAGTGAGTAAATTTGCTGTTAAGAACATTCTATAAATTTCGTCATAATTTATATCCATCTCATAGATGCGAATACGTGCGCCTATAAATGCGTTAAAAAAGTCAAATCAAAATTGAGCACTTACCGCAAACCCAAATACCGAAAGAAACCAAACTAATCCTGTTTCCGTACCTCTTGACTTATTCGTCTAAGGGATTTGCTTGGAAATCGGAAAGTTTAACAAAATCTTTATTGATCAATATAGATAATGAGTCGTTCGGTTTAGCTTCACCAAAAAGATTCTCATCTCTTGTATTGGTCCAAATTTTGAAATCTGGATTTTTACCTCGAGAATTTTCCTTATCGCTAGTACTGCTAGAACTCTCGCTGTTCGCCCTATTAAATTAGACATCATTAATCACATAATTAGACAATCACATGGCAAACTTACAAACGCAAACTCTTACCATATCAACTCAAACATTGGATCGTGGAAATTTTCTCTGAATATGTCGTGCAAAGTTTTATGGACAAAAGTATCCTCATTATTGGTATTCACGTCTTTCGAATTCAGCAATAAACTATGGCAAGAAAATATTCCATTCAGCGTTACATTAATTATAATTTATAATGGGTGCAACGCTTACAAGTTTCGAAAAATGATTTGAGCATGACAGGATTTGTCTTTGCCTTGTCATTCAATTCTGCAACTTTGGAAAAATTAGCACACCATACGTCTTGAATATCACTCATTAATGCAAAAGAACTCACGGAAGAAAATTCGAGAGCCATATTATTCACTACCGGTGACAGACTCGGAGCTAATTGTCTTCAAAAGATTTTGTCCCAAATTGCTGAAGTGATAGTGAGATATGAAGGTTTTGTACGTTCGATGAGCATTATGTTTGAAAGGCAACTATTTTAACATGAGAATAATAAACATAATGTTGAACGTGGTCATAAAATTATATGAATAAGATGGAATGCGACACTCAGAATTTTTTGAATGTCTTGTTTGTAACATAAATACGGGTTTTCTTTGACTTGTCGAATTGTTAGCTGTTGAAAGTTCCGAAACTCATTAGAAAGATTGCAGCCTTCAAAAATCCACTGAAAAAGCGCGTATGTGTGGTTAGTTGATATATACGGTGAATGGCAATGAAACATTAACCACATAGTGTACTCACATCCTCTTTAGAAGTGCCTCTGAAATCAACCTTATCAATTACATCTTTCCATTAATAAAAAATCTTATGCCATTTCCTGGTATCATAATATTCAAAATCTTCAGAAGACGACTGATTTATTTTCGAATCTAATATCGAATTATCATTCTGTAGCGACTCCTTCAGGAGACGAGGTTTTTTCGGGCGAACTTGATCACCAGTTTCATCCGGAAGGAGATCGCTCATGCGACTTTGGGTTGCTTTAATTGTTTTTTTTTTTTTTTGTTAATGTCTTATCAATATACGACTGTTAAATTGGGAGAGAATTAGGGAACACAAACGTTGGGACGATAGACCACAAACACATTTGACAAACCTTTTCCTTTTCAAGAACGCTTGTTTTAAAATAATTTCAATGGCTTGTTTGTATTTACGTATCATCTTTGTAGTTTTGATCGATATTAACAAGTTTGAGATCATCACGAATTGTGAGGACCTCCTTGAGAGCGGAATAGCAAATTGAGTCAGCCATTTTCTTTGACATGCAATTGAACTTTTTGAAAAATTTTGTTTGTGTCGGCCTTTCTTCATTAACAAAAAATCGTATTCTTTTTCAGAAATCGAATCCTTCTTTGAATCCACTGAGATATACGTACGAGTAAAAAGTAGGTTTTTTGAACGACGTTTAATTTTTCGCGTTTAGATTCTCGTTTACGTATGTCGCTTTGTGAAGAAGAAAACATTCAAACATTTGGCGCTTTTTCGGCTAGCCAGCCTATTTATAGTCTCTTTGTGACGCGAAGCAATAAAAATACTTTTTATTTTTTAAATATTGTATGTTTAAACGAACATAATGAGTAAGGAAAAAATTCGAACTTCATGCATTTAATCGTACGATCTGTTGATTGTTACCAACTCGTGGCTTATGCATTTTCTTTGTGAAAAGATTTTTTCGTCATTCACTGCACCCGCATTCCCAAAGGAGATCGGAAATTAACGGGCGAAATAATTCAAAAGGGCATTATATTTACGTTATTGTTGCTTTTTTTACTTGTGATTTCGTTTTCACAGTAATACCTAATCCTTTTTTGCGATCAACTGAACACGTATCAACATGGCGCATTTAATATCAAGGGTTGAAACATTTTTATTAAAAGAATCTCTGGACTCTCTTTGCGATGCATCTGCAGTTTACCTGACGATTGAAACCAATATTTACCTTCTCTTGAGTACGTAAGAGAGATTTGTAGATCTTACAATAAACTCGTCCCTATTGAAAATATGTAGAAGAAATTGATCCAATAATTAGAATTTTGGAATTGTCAACTCAAGTTATAAAGCCTTTATTATTTAATGATGATTCTACGAGATTCTACGATAATGTATTAGTTTTGGTATGTCATAGCTGTAGGTTGGGGAGTGCCAGCTCAAAAAATGATATCTTCCAGATGTCGAGAGTTTGCTCCGGCGCTTTTCATTGTGCATAACGTAACAATACGTCTCAAAAAATCGGATAATAACTACGTTAGGAAAAAAATTACAGCACCCAGTATTCCCATGTTGTCCCCAACCATAGTACTGACTGGGCCATCAGTGGCTTAACTTCGGAGATCGGACGGGTTCCGGTGCTTTTCACTGTGTATGGCCGTAATTGTTGAACATTATCTCTTGATTTATTAAATCTTTTATTGTGAAGGGATGAATGCGTAAAAAGTAATAATTTAAACGTAATATAGATGACACTGGCGCAATATTGGCATCCGGCTGTGTGATCTGTATTTAAATCTATTTTTAGTTACTCCCTCGAGGCTCATTATCATGTGAATTTTCGTCTATATTTTGATTAAACATATCTTATCGAATATCATTCTCATCTACCGATCTTCACTTTATAGAATAATACCTCTTTAACAATCTTAATCTCTCTATCGGTAAATTTTCCAAAAATCTACCCTACTTCTATCAGGAATGTTACATTTCGATTTTTTCTTGATCGATTAATGAGCGCAATTATCGTTGATCCACATCATAAAAATTTTATTAAATACTGCCCATTATCACATAAAAATCAATTATCGAGGTTAAGATCTTAAGGAGAATATCATGTGGTAGACGTGAAGACTCTTCACACTTTAAAAAAAACTTTAAAAGAATGCATTTGATGTATGACACTTATTTTAACGTCTTGCCACTGACATTCACGTGATTTAGAAATACGTCCGACAACCCGCAAAATATTGGACGAGATTAATGCAAAGAATTAAAGCATAAATTTAAAATTTAAGTTACAAGAAGTTTCTACGTAGGAGATTCTTACGGTGTAACGATCTAGCAAACTAGATAATTATAATGTCTCGATCCTTTTTTTCTTTGAATCAACTTGGATCGCCATCCCAAAGTCAATCAGCTATATGTCGCCGTTATTTCCAATTAAGATGTTCGCTTCTCGAATGTCATTGTGAAGAATGTTATGAGTGTGAATTGCCTTTAATGCCTCAAGAGCCATATCCCTTTACTGTCTTGATATCTTGTGGTGATTTAACGCAGTCCCGACAATAGTCATGCCAACGATAAAGCTTAATCCTCCTCCGTAATAACCATAGAACACCAAATTTGGGATATACAGTATACGTACTGCTAAATAATTAACCAAAAATCGGCACGTATACATCACACCACATACACGCATATACATGTTAAAAATCAGGAGCTCAACTGTGTGGATAAATTTTATTAATTTTGATAATAATGTAACCGCAAGAACCTCGTTTACTTCTGGCGTCAGAACTAGACAGTAATTGCAATTTAGGTGGCGGTGTCATTAAACTACTTTCATCAACTTCCACCAGATCTTCCTCTGTTATTTCGATTACATTTTTCAGGATTGCCTTTAAAAAGTTTGAAAAAAAAAAAAAAAATTAAACGAAATAAGACAAATTTCAAATACCGAAAACGACGACACTTACTGTACCTTTTCCTTCCATATCAGGCTAATCATTGGAAGGACTTGCACCGAATTTAGATTGGTATCTCAGAAAGTCGTGGCTGCGATAATCTACAAACGTTCCGCTGGTAAATCTAACGGTAATAATGAGATCTTCAAGCCCAAAATGATAAAATTGAATCAATAATTAGAAAATATAAAAGCTTACATACCCGAGATGATAAACCCGACTGTTTCTAACTTTCTGATTTTATCCTTCCGCATTTTCATAGTTTCGCAAGGATCATTGAACATATCCCTAAGTATTTTGGACATTTTAAAACTCCTTTGATGATCTTTGTACAGTGGCGATCAAATGTTTTGCATCACTTAACTCGCGAACTTTGCAACTTAATAACTTCGTAAGTAAACAATAATTTATTATAATTTTTATTTATTTAATTTATCAAATCTTAAATAATTTAAAACT